CTCAGGGTCCGCTGGCAGGTCTGCTGGCACTCCCGAAATAATGTTCGGAAGAACGGTACAACGCAGGGGAGAGGAACAACGGGGAGAGAGAGAGAGACGGACGTCGTGGGGGAGCAGACTGTGATATCCAGAAGAGGAAGATGAGAAAGGAGAGCGGAACAAGAAACGCCCGGATCGAGCGTGTTACATAATTTTCGTAACACGGTGAAGCGGAGAGGGCGATGCGAGATTGGTGGGGATATGGGGAGTGGACGATGGTCTACGTCGACGAGGAGCTGCCCTGAGATGTCCCATGCGAGAGCGAGAGAAAGAGAGAGAGAGAGAGAGAGAGAGAGAGAGAGAAAAAGGATGAAACAGAGGAAAAAGAGTAAAGCGACAAAGAGCAAGAAGGGTACGCGCGAATAGATAAATAGATGGATGGATAAATGGCACGGGGGAGACAATAAAGAGAGAATGAGTGAAAAGAAAAAAAAAAGGTGGAGAAAGAGAAGAGTAAACACAGCTAAATAGATGATTGTGAAAGAGAGAAATAAATGTATTTAAATGAAAAAGAAAACAAGAGAGAAAGAGAGAGAGAGAGAGAGAGAGAGAGAGAGAAAAGGGATGAAAGAAGGGAGAGGTGGAAATAGTGGAGGCTTCTAATGGAATGGCGAATCAATCCTCGACGAGGGGAAGGGGGCATGAGGGTGATGGAGATGGAAGAGGAAGAAGGGGTTGATGATAAAGAGGAGGAGGAGGAGAAGGTAAAGGCGAGTGGTGATGGTGGTGGTAGTGGTGGTGGTGGTGGTGGTGGTGGTGGTGGTGGTGGTGGTGGTGGTGGTGGTGGCGGTGGCGGCGGCAGAGGGGTAGGTGGGGGTGGTCGGCAGTGTGGCGACATACTACTCACCGTGGACGGTGGCAGCAAGATGTCTGCGAGGTGTCTCTTCTTCCTCGACGGTGGCAAGAGAGAGGAAAACCCGATGTCACATACGCCGCTTCATCGGGCCACTGTGCTGCCGCTTAATACCACTCCGCGCGGTGCTCTTCGCCCGCCTTCTTCACCTTCTACCACTAAAAATAAACTCGCTCGCTGTTCCGTGCGCTCCTCTGGCTATCTCCGCGCGCGCGCTCGTGACACTCTCCCCTCCCAACCCTTCATTCACGCACACTCGCTCACTCCCTCTCTCTCTTTCTCTCTTTCTCGCTCTCTTTCTCTCCCTCTTTCTTTTTGTCTTGCTTTCTCTCCTTCTTTCTTTCTCTCTTGCTTTCTCTCTTGCTTTCTCGTCTCTCGCTCTTTCTCTCGTTCTCGCTCGCCCCTCACGTCTTGTAAACGCGACCGACACATTAATCCGCACTTTCAGGCCGCTCTCTCGGACATTCTCGCGCACCTCTCGCGCTCTCCACGACCGACCAACCGCTCGATTCTCTAGAATCAAGGAGGTGGCACTGTGTCGCCACTCGCCGCCGCTTGTCGCCGCTGCTATCCACCATCGCCTCCACCACCACCACTGCCACCTCCATCGCAACCGCGCTGGATGGCGATGGTGAGGACGGCGATTCGATTGTACGCGGAGCGACAAGCTGGGGAGAGATGTCGACCTGTCACGGCCGGGATCGCGAACAGAGAATACAGAAATTCTTCCGTGGGAACGGCGGAAGTGGTGAGAAGGGGAAGCGAGAATGAGAGCACGAACGAAAGAGAAAATCGAAGCATTCAAGGATGGAGAACCAGAAAAAGAAAGAGAAGAGGAGGAAAGAACGAGCGAATGCACAGGAATGCGAGGTGAAGACAATTCAGGAAGCCGTGAGAAAACATGCACTCTCGATGATTAATCCGTTTTGTATTTCCGCGCGCCGCAGAGATGACAGACAGACAGACAGACCGACGCACGCACGCACGCACGCACGCACGCACGTTCTTACCCCCGGGAGAGGGGTGCCACTGCCGTCGTACGGCGTACCGAGAGCGCGGAACTGTCGCGCTCGCGGCGCTCTTCAATTCCTCGTGGTCTCGTCGGACCTTCCTCCCACCCTACTAGTGGTATCGACTGCGCCGGCGGCAGCGGCGGCGACGACGGCGACGACGGCGACGACGCGACGACGGCGGTTCTCGACGGTGGCGGCGGCGGCGGCGGCGGCAACGATGACGACGACGGTGCGGGGCGGCCTTTTCTCCTTGATGCCTCTTTTCATATAGGCAAGGCCGCAGCACCGATTACCGCTACCTAGTAGCTCACGTTGCTGGTAGCGCGCGTTACCGCTGGTAGCGACCGGCGAACCGCGACGACGACATCCACGCATCGACGACGACGATAATGACGGCGAACGGGGAGACGAGGAGAGACGAGGACACGATTATACCGCGACGACGACAACGATTATACTCCGGTTAGCTCGCTTCCCGCTGCTACCACTGGCCTGCCTGCTGCTCTACCGCCGATTCTGCGCGCGCACCTTCGGCATACACGTACGTGTACAACGGGCCCGCTCTGCCGTCCGTCCGTCTCTCTCTCTCTCTCTCTCTCTCTCTCTCTCTCTCTCTCTCTCTCTCTCTCTCTCTC